GGGCACTGACTTCCGCTGCAATAGTGTCTTTGGGGTTGGTATGGGTGTGAATAAACGCTTTCATCAACCCTCTGATCAGATGCGTTAAGTTTCAGGTATCGTGTCAACATCGGCATGTGATTGTTCATGCTCACTGCAAGTGTGGTAAGACGTTGGTGTGAGTGATACACGCGTCTTTGACGGATGGCTTGTGCACCGCTGGAAGTGGGACCCACAACGTTAGTACAGAGCCGTACATCCGAATGGACTGGCTTTATGTTCTACAATAATTCACACAGACGGCGTGGAGTGAAAAACGTGATTGATTCCATCCACTTTCCGTCTTATGGTGTGTGTAAACTACCCTCCACAAATTATGTAGACTTGAAAGCTGAAAATAATGCCTTTTGCTGAATCCTGAAGACTTCGAGAACTTTGCCGCCGACTTCAAAACTCCCCAAGTGCCTATGCTTGCTTCAGTTGACTAACATGCATGGTGCCCTATCATCTGAATCGGTTGCCAAAAAAGAATTTTGTTAAGTAGTAAACTCAAAGTCGACCTCCTTTCATAGCATAAACCCACATTTAACCTTGACGACTTAGCTTGCAATGTTGAGGGGAAGGCAAGGCGTTGTTCAAAGGAATGAAGTATTCACAAAAAAGCCTGCTTTCTTCACCTCGTAGAACCATCGCAGGGGGAAGAGGGGGGAGGGCGGAGGAGACGAGGAGGGAGTACTTCAAGACAAAATGATCAACTGCAGGCATAATGAAGAAAATTCGGACAGAAGGGAGGTCATCATTTCTCAAATCATATTTCAGTCGAAAACAAAAAAAATGTACAATCTCCTCTACAAAAAATTATAAATCCTTTAGGAATAAATAAAGACAACCACTACAGAGCAAGCACGTGTAGTAAAGGGCAAATGACGATGGCATATTGTATGCAAATGGCGATAAGGGTATGCATATCATCAAATGATCCATTTCTCATCACCACAGTCCATTGGGAGAAAATGAATGCCTCACTTTGTGTGTGTGCGTGCACATTTGTACTTATACAACCGTCCTGTGGGCATCTCGTCTTAGTTTACGTGAGATTTAAATGTAAACACTGCCTTACCTTCCATTACGAGTGTAATTGAACCAACTTCAAAGCCTAACACTGCTTCCAGTTGGATGACTTTGCAGTATTCTAAAACAGGACGGTTTTACTGCAGTGCGAGGGTGGAAGCTTCAAATAGAGGCATGGAAGGATACGCATTTTGGCTTGGGTGCATGCAAAGTCAAGTGAAACGAATTAGACTGCGGCGTTGGATGCTGCTCAAGTCCCTCAAAACCGTAAACATCGCTGCAACGCTTAAACAGTCCTGCAAAGACATAAAAAATCATGCTAGTCATTCAACAAGCAACCTGAATGCCTTCAATCCACTTCAGCGAGAACGTCTCCAAAGGAGATGCGACAAGTGACGAGACCTCCTTCCAACCAAGACGTGAATTGCAGCTCAAATCCCAGGCGACTTCAAAACTGATGAACTGTGACACGTCACGCCATGGCACAACCCGACAACAATGATCTCGTCTTTATAAAAATTTCATCAGATGTCCAGGTTTGACTTTAACCAACCCACCCACCCACCCACTCACCCCTCCTTGACCCCTTCATTTCCGACTCAGCGATACCCAGTTGTACAATTGTAAGGGCTATCAAATTTCATGTATTCTCCGCCTTATTTGACGTCTCAATTTCATATTAGGTTTCTATGAGAGGATGGATTATTCTGCCTTTGTAAATTCCTCATATTTCGCTTAAAAACTGCAAGCGAGGCTAAGAAGGCGCTTTGAAGACCACAATAAATCGCTTCAAGAAATGCCGCTGTAGACGAATTAATGGAAGTCAGCAAGAGGAGCAGAACTGTTTGGACGGAATGTCAGGAGGAGGAGGAGGAGAAGCCAATGAAAGTTGTGCTTTTACTTGATGCTGGTCATTTGGTCAATTTGTTACAAAATTTGCGATTCTGTTTGTTACATAGCACTTGTAGAAGAACGCATCTTCCACCATCACTACTGTGAACATCACCACAGAGTCCGTTTGTTTCAATGCATACGTCCAAGTGATAGAGAAATTACGCTAGCAAAGGACGACAGCCGTCTCCACCCGCCCAACTTTGAGCCCCCATTGTACCACCTCCTGCTTTTTAATCGTATACTCAGCAATGGGAGCACTTTTTCACTTGGATACGTAGCTGGGGGATGAATAAACGATTAGTCTACTGATAAGATGGCCAAATGAAGTTCCAACGCAGATCTCATTGACTGTCTCCTAGTGACCCACTCAAATCGCACAATTCGCTTTGCAAAGGCACTACTCCATCTTCAGAAGGCACTGTAGTGCCTTTGTTCGCTTCCGACTGGAGTGGACGACATACACAATTGTTCACCGTAAAGTCGCCAACTCATCTGTAATGTATCTACTCAATACAGCTGCAAGTAATGAAGATTCAATTTCATCATCAGTGTGGCCAGTGAATACACGGCAAGGGGCGTTATTGTTACCAACCAAAGCAAAACAATAAGAGAAAAGGAGGGAGAGTGAGGGGAGCAGTCACCTCTTGAACCGTCACACATACTCACTCTCACGTTCTTGTTTATGCTCACGAACATCCGCAGAGTGCCTCTGGTATTTGTGCCCCAATTCCCAAGTTGTTGTCACCTCTCCTTTTCTGCACTCTTTAAAATCACGGAGATAGCCAATGGTCACTCAAAAATTAAAGCGTGACAAGAGCGAGGAAGGATTAGACTGATAGGAAGACCTTTCGGTGAGAAGGTCTTTCACCATGCCATCTTGTAGAAGAATCTGTAGATCGTATTGGTTGTGACACTCTCAAACCTCTCCACGTTATTGCAAGGACCTTGATGCAACTGCAACACTCTTCCCACCTTATAATCTCTTAACACTTGTTAAGAAGTAATAACAATAAATCTGACAAGACATTCCATTTGTCAGCTATTTGCGTCATGAGGTTCACCTACCATCTGCCTGGTTCTGCCATTGCCAATTAAAGCAGAACAATCCATTGACACTAGATGAACAAATTTACTTAATCCAGAGATGGGACACGCCTATACAGGTACCAGATGTCAAATGTAGGCAAGAGAGGTAGAAAGGATAACTTCAAGGCGACCATTACAAAGTGTCCTCGTTGTGTATCGACAAATAGCGAGGAGTTACAAGATTTACTCAACACTACTTCATTTTACAACCAACCACACATGGCGTAACAAACACTGAAAATGGTGAGAACGAAAACCAACAATAAGGCAACCAATAACTCAACTACAAACACGCACCCTTAGACGTTTTGCAGCTCCATATTGAAGGCAATTACACACCCTTACGCCACATGGAGCTATTCAACAAAATTCACTCGCCTACAATACAAATGATAGACTTTATAAGCATGTCCACACCCCAGTGTGAAGAAGAGAAAGACACATGAAAGATGACAAAATACTCGATAAAGAAGACGTTTCGATAACACTAGTATTATATGCAGCCCGAGAGTTGGCAGTGACATGCACGCACGCACGCACAAACACACACACAAACACACATCCATACACACACGCACACACACGCACACACACCTACACACAAGAGCAAGAGGGTGTGAAAGCATGTATGCATGCATGTATAACAAGAGCAGTACGGGCGCTTGGTAGTTAAATCTCCCTCTTCCTATCAAAGGGCTACAAAGGGAGGCAAAAAGGAAGGAGAGAGGCCTGAGATTGTAAATACCTTAATGGTGATAGGTTGTAATGTGATGTGGTGTGGTGGGATGGGGGGAATGTGTCAATGACAAAGAGTGGCAGCAAAGGTAGATGGCGCTGAGTCTCTTCTTTCTTCGCTAATAATATGGACACACACACATACATACAGCTAGAAGATGGGTGGAGCGTGAAGTCAAATGTGAAAAAATAAAATGCCAGACAAGACACGCCTCCATTGGCGCGATAAAAGTTATGGACCTGAGAGGGGTGATGCCTGCTCACCAAGTAGAAAAGGGAGAGGAGAGAAGACAGAATTACACAAAGAGGAGGGAGTAGGGAGGGTGATTTTGCATGAAAAAATATTTATATATGGCAATGTCACTACAGAAAAACGGTGAAGCATCTACAAGGGACGCGAATAAGAAGAGTTCAGCTAGAGGGGATGAAGGGCGAGCGCGAAAGACTTGGTGAACTCGGACGCGTGTCCGGGTGCTACGAGGTCCTCGCTTTACCGTTCTTATACGCGAAATAGCGGCGTGCAGAGGGGAGGAGACGACAGAAGAGACCTGAGATGGGGACATCGACCTCCCCAACCCTCCGAACGGGCGATGGTCATAAGAGAGCTTCCACTGTAAGAAAGAGGAATTACAACTTTATTTATTCGTTCATGGAATACAAGGCACCGCCTCATGGACACACACACACACATACGTGTCGCTGTTTACAACCTTTGTAGGCATGACCTAAATGTGCAAAAGCAACCCCGTGACCTTAGAAATAACAGTCGCCCAAGTGGAAATATAGGCACCAGGGGTGATACTTGCTATACCCAGCGTTTGACCTTCAGCTGGGTTTTTGCAAATGAAAACGAAGGTCCATCCATTGGACCCGAAAGATGATTAGTATCACCAAAACTCCCTTCAGCAACTCGATTCATTCATCCCTCGCACGCCATATCAACTATTACCATCCAAGCAAACCTCAAATTCTAGCAAATGATCAACGAGAAATCCCATATGAATGGGTAATTCGACCATAATCCCCAAAAAGAAGTCATACAAATCGGCCAAACTCATGCATTCAGCATTCACTTCCATGCTGATAAATACCAGCACAGGTTTTGCTGAATGGAGCAGTGAACCTTCACCAAACTCTGAGATGGTGCGGTAAAGTTCTTTGATTGTCCAAATACTCCTTCTGCCCTTAGAGATGCATAAAGTATATAGGCAACTCGGCGTGATAACGCACATACCTCACAAGCCTTGCGAGGTCTTGCAAGGGAACCCGATAAAGACATTAAAAATAAGACGCGACCACCTCCATAAATTGGTAAAATTTGAATACTTACATTCGAGAACGTCATTGACAATATCAGCAGTGAGTTGAATATCCTCATTCACTTTGTTGCTGCAGTCGGTATTGTTGTTGACAGTGGTAATGCCGTTTGTGCTGTCAACGCTGTTGCTATCGCAGACAGGTGCACATTGCTGCGCTTCAAACAGCATCGACGGACGGCGTTCGGTAAAATGCCGCTGTGGCGATGGTGGTTGTGTTGGTAATGGCGCTTGTTGGCGAGATATTTCATAGCCTTCGTAGGTCGAACCATCCAGGAAGGGCAAATCCATTTCAGAACCCACCTGCTCAAAGCTCTGATGGTAGTGAGGAGGCGAAGGGTGATGCGGCGGAGGTGGGTTATAAAAATACTTATCCCCACCACCTCCGATACCACCCTTCAGGCTGTCCGGGGGATGTGGACGCTTCTGACCAATCATTGCTGAAACTGCCAAGCCTGCAGAGTGCGTTGGTATGGCGGAGGTGGGAGGAGGCGGAGGTGAGGAGCCGGTTGCCATGATATCCATGTTCCTAACTTGGCAACGACTTGTCACCTTCTCACGCAGACTTGCCTTTACCTGACTGTTAGATTGTAAAAAAAGAAACGTGAGATTCGGGTGTTTGAAAGGTGAAAACTATTTATCGTACTTCAAAATCAATGCAGAGCGTTGTTTTTATAGCTCATCCGCGAAGAGCTCATCCTATGTCATCACCACCTAGTCCCCTCTCCAGACTTTTGAGATTTGTAACCCATATTTTAAGGACAACAATTTTGGTTTTGTGCTAGATAAACACTTACCAGTAGTGCCTGCTAAAGGTGGCAAAATTTGCGTCAAGAGTCGACATAGGCTCAAACACCCATTAAGCAGATATTGAAGGCAATAAAGGAGTTTGACGGAACAAACTGAGATGACCTACAATTACTATGGCTAAAAAGTGTTACATTTCGGTTGACTTTGCGTAACTGTAATCAAAGATATCCAGATAGAATTGATTAGCCAATAGAACGGAGAGGAAGGATGAGACAAAGGTAAGGCTTTTAAGAGGTTACCAAAAGAAAAAAAGGTGTTGAGCCAAAACTTCCGTGAATAGCGACTAGCATATGGAATTTTGTTTTCATGAATGAATAACAAGGTAGCATGGAAGGCGTTCAGATAGATGAGACATGTCATTATCTTTAATTTGAAAGGCTTCTCGCCGAAGGCACATACTCATGCCTATGCGTCAACGATCAACAAGACTAATTGTAGGCAATTGTGCGCAAATCTACAAAAGAACTTACGAATGAGGAAGCGATTGATTCTGCTGAAGTGCCAAAGATAGTGGTGACACATAGTTAGGAGGTTGTGGTGGCGGCTGCTGATGCATCACCGTGTGATGCTGGTGTTGAAAGCTGAACTGTGAGTCGAAGTAACCCATACTAGGGAAATTCGCATAAGTTTCAGAACCGCAAACAGTGTGTGGTGACGGTGACTGTGGCAGTGATGGTCTCTGTTGGTGGTAGAGCAAATGCTGTTGCTGCTGATGGTGGGGAGGAGCTTGAGTGTTGTAGTACGGTTGTTGACTTTGCCGATGTAATTGTTGTTGGCATTGATGAGGATGATGAGAATTAGTATGGTGTTGAAGGTTGTGGTACTGGTGATGGCTTAATAATTTGGGCTGAATAGGGGACGGGTGGGGGGTGTAAGGCGGTGGAGATCCAAGAGCAGGATTATCGTAATGCGGGGAAGTTCCTGTGAGGAGGCCCTGAGGTGAAGATCCAGTCTGCTGGTGATCTTGATACTCGTAGTTTACGGGTGCCAAGTGCCCACCCGAATATTCATAGACTGGCTGAAGTTGTGACATCTAAAGACGAAATCAAGTGAAAGGCTGGAAGGCAGCATAGCATGATGGACATTGGGCTCTAAGACAGATACCTTCAATGAATATAAGTAAGCAACGCATCGATGGCATTAAACCCCGAAATTGCGTTTTATAAGGCTGTCGATTCAATAACAGGAGGTGTATACATACATACGCATTAATGGGCAAGAATGAATACCATTGCATAAGGTAGAGCTTCTGTAAGACAGTAGAATTCAATGAGCGCAAAATGATTGCACGATTTGATACCCTAAAGCTACGAAAAGACTGACCCGTTGTTGTTGGTGCTGCTCTTGCTGATCAGGAGGGTAGAGAGTGGGAACAGGAAAGTGATGGTGGTAGCCCGTGGGTGATACACGCACATTGGGCGCAATTTCCTTCATGCGGCGAGAGAAGTCCTCCAACGGCGTTCTTTGATTAACTAGAGTCTGCGTCTGTGAAGCTGGCGTCACAGGAGTTGGTGTCAGCAGTGGAGCATCGAGCTCACAGAATCCCTCGCCTCCCACCGATTGAATGTGACAGCAAGCAGCGGTGGAAGAGCTTGAGGGAACATCACTTCCGCTGCTACTAAAGCCACAATTGGGCAGGGATTGCTGCTGCTGCCGCTGCTGCTGATGATGATGATGGCCCAGAGTTCCCTCTAGCAGACTATGACTTCCTGATCCGTAGGTCGTGACTTGACCAACGTTTTGTTGGAACAGAAGACGCTTAAAAGAAAATAAGGACAATTAATTAACGAACTTAATCTTTTGAATTTCTACAAAATAGACTTTATAAAGCCATAAAATAATCAAAGCTTTTCAGGCTACGATAAATAAGGAAGAGAGTCCAAACCTGTCGCTCCAAGAGGTGACGTGAACTGGGGCGTTGTCGACGTTGATGTTCCGCTTCCTCTGCGATTTGTGCTGCTGCTGCTGCAGCAGCTCTACGATTTCTCTCCAGAGTCACGGCTAAAGGGAAAGGCAAGAGTTTGACACCAATGACATTACTTTCCACGGCAGTATTATGAGGAAAGAAGACCGCTGCCAAGCAGATAGACGACACTCCTAACCAGAAGAAATTCTTCACATGAAGAACAAGCGCAATTATAACGCAATAGAGTCCTCAAATTATAGATTTATGCCATAACTCCCTATCCTCCAAAAACTGGAATAGCTGAGTAGGAAGACCGTGACACGATTCATCTCAATTCACAGGGGACCAGGTCTCCAATGATAAGGTGTGCTTCGCTTTTAAAAAGTGCCTTTACTACCGCTCTTCCACGCATTAAATTCGCCTAATTAAACAGGAGTCAGAACGCGGGTAGATTCCCACACCAACTTCCTCCCTTGCTGGGAAATGTTAGAGGTGATGCCTATTAAATCCACAAGATTTGTCTTGTTACAAATTGAGCGCAAGAAATTTATAAATCTATCAACTCAATGTGGACTTTAGTTATTTGGGATAGTGATGGATGATGACTACAAACCTACTCCCCTTGTCGATTTAAAATTCACTCCTATCACAGTACCAGTCGCTAGGATGGAAACAATAAAAAAGCCTCACTATTTGCTACTAGGGCCGAAAGGATGAAAATGAAGCATTCTGAATAGGCGTGAAAGTGGTAGAGAGCTAGGCTTAAACGTATAAATAGAATGCCGAATTCGCATCGAGATGGTAAATGGTGGAAAACCAAAGCGCCAACAGACAGGAAGAATGTGAGTAGAGGAGTGTACAGTTCTTCCGGGCGTAGAAAGGCAAACATCCAATCACACAGGAGACATGTGAAATTGGGTGGATAAACGAACTAGGATAGAGGAAAAATTTGGAATAAGCGTAGACCATCTCCGCTACATCAATGCAAATGGGAGTGAAATAGGCAAGACTTTTGCGGGACCCATGCGTATTGAACAAACACGCAGAGATGAAGCAACAGGCAGCTTAACTAGACAGCCAATGCTCTCAGTGAGAAGAGGTAATTAAACAGGCAAGCAATCGCACAAAAGCACTTGAATGGTAATAAAAGACAAAACGATGAGCCAAGTGTGATTAAAAATAAAGGGTAAGAAGGAAGAAAGAGCCAACCTTTTCCCTCCTTGGGTATCTTCGGTCCAAAGTATTCAATGAGGTATTTGGGTTGTGTAACAAACGGAAACGATCGCATAATCAAGAAATGGGAGGCCAAGAAGTATACCGTCGCTTACATGGAGGAGGACCTCCAATATCGATGCTGACGATGTCATCACTGAGCACACGCTCAAGCACACACGCACACACATGTGCACGCGTACGTGTATACGTGTGGGTTTGACTTCATCTAAATACCTAGAGCCAACGCTTAGTGCATGAACTTTCATTTGTGCACACATGCGTGTGTGCGTGAGTGCACCAGCGTGCATGAATGAATGATGACCCAGGTGACAAAGATTTAATACCGGCCGTATGCTAGTCATACAATAGCGGATCAAAAGTAAACAACACTAGTGAGAGCGGAGCTGTGCTTGAGGATGCTGAATGAAACTGCAGAACTGATGTCACTAACTGCTAACAGAAGATGATCGAAAGCCCTACCAAGTGCTATTAGCAGTAAAGTGTAAGCACATAAAGTGCTGTGTCAAAGGTGGTTACTGAAGACGAGTAAACTTACGAGACGAGTTGCTGACATCCATCGAGTTGACTGCGGAAGGCGGAGCAGACGAGCTGGATCCCCTACAGCAGCTTCCCCCACTGGCGCCGCTGCCAATTACAACACATCCACCAATTGATCCTTTTGCTGCCACCGGCGTTTTCACCGTGGGCGCCACCGATTGCGATGGAGGTACCGAGGTTACAAGGACGTGGGATGGGGTAGGAACGGACAATGGTTGCCGCAAAGCCATTGGGCAGGAGTCGTAGCGTGTACGCCTCACTTCGCCGCTGCCACCGCTACTGACAACAAGGACGTCAGAAGGGAGTTCGAAGAAGGAAGGGGGAGGGGGTGGAGGCGCGACAGGAACATCTTCCTGCACTGTTGCATCTACTTCCGCCGTCACCGTCTCCCAGCGTGGATCGGGACCTTGTAGAAGACGGCAAAGTGAGGAGTTGGCCAGTGCGGCGTCCTCATCCTCACTGGTGTCGCGGATGTTAGCTTTGCGAGTTATGACACCAGTGCTACCGCCACTGCTTGCGTTGTTTTGGAGTTGAAGGTTGCCGATAATGTTGTTGTTGGCAGTTTCCTGTGTAAGGAAGCGAGAATCCATTGTTTGCGGTGCCAATGATGGTAATTTGGATGGAGGCGGACCATGTATCTTTGGTGATAGGCCATCTTCATCTACAACTGAGTACAAAACAATTCGCATGGTTTTAGCCGAGCTTACAATCCACAGAGCTTACGCTATCAGCAACGGAGTTCCAATACTCGTCAATCTACGAAAACGATTGAGATGTCGGTGCAGTTTATTGTATCCCTGATCGTCTTTTATCAGCAACTTATTCTCCCGTATGAAACAGATTTATGGTACACTTTGGTCACCAAGCTTTCATGAACTCAATAATACTCAACAATATTGCATTTTTTTTAGGCAAAGATGTCGAAATATTAAAACCATTGGAGATATACAATGCAATCTTAAGATTTTCTAAGACACACAGTTAAAGCGTAAAGCATAGCAATTTCGACCCATTCAAATACCGTAAGATAAGGCGGACAGAACCACCGTTGAGGCACGGCGATGCCATAATGTCAATTAGGCTTCCCAAATGATAAAAAAGTACGATTTTGACTTCAGCCGTTAATATGCAAAAAGTTGTCAAAGTCTAACCACGTAAATTTGTGCCTACAACAACAATAATGCACGACATGAAGATCACAATTGTTAAATGCAAAATACTTACAACTTGGCGGACGATGAGCAGTGCTTTTCGCTCCACTTGGAGGCTGCGGATCAACAATGATGGAGAGAGGACAATCAAGAGGCCTTGAAGGCGCAACCTTGGCCATCCTCGAAGTAGCACCAACAGCAGCAGAAGCAGCTAGTCGACTAGCTCGGACAGCACAAGCCGTAGATATCGTGGGACTGGGTATAGGCTCTGAAACTCCTACGGCCGTCACTAAAGTGGTGGTTGGTGCAAGAGTAAATGAAGTAGTAACAGTGGCGTTGGCAGATACCACCGAGGCCGGTGGACACCCGTGTCTCAACAGATGAGCCAAAGACGAACAGGAGGAGGAGGAAATCGGACTCTGGAAACAAAGCAGCAAAAAAGTAAAATAAATGGACCAAAAAATCTTTTGGACATCAAAAAAGAGCTTACCATTAGTAAATGGGGTGTCGAATTTGGTGTTTCATTTCGAGTACTAGTTGTAGGGCTAGTGGTATTGCTACTGCCATTGATAGTTGAGGTAGCCATGGGCCATTCCACACCATTGAAACTGAAGCAGCTGCTTGACTTGGGAACCTGGCAACAAGTCGAGGATGGTCCGCTACCTGAGAGAGCTTGGCGACATTCAGAAACACCACAGCCATTATCCACTGATGCCGCCTCAGAAGCATTTCGATGTCGTGCAGCGATAGCAATTGTGGTTGTCGTTGTGGTGGCAGTGGCGACAGAAGAGCCAGAAATGCGTCTGTGGCGAGAGTCTGGAGCAACATAACCACCCATCAAAAGGGATTCCAGAACACCTGCAGTGGAGTGAACTTCCTGGGAGGAGATTGATGAGGAAGAGGAAGAGGAGGAGGACAAAGTAGTGTGCTTCCTCGAAGACAAAGCCGGTTGTGCAGGAAACGACAATGATTGCGAAGTCGGGGGTAGAGATAGCGCAGCTTGCTGAGATCCACGAGTTGCTGTCATCCACGGACTACATGCGGCCATAGATTCAATGGAGGCCGGTGTTGTTGTTCCCGATGTTTGTGCCGATGGAGTAGTTGTTGCAACAGCACGCGGTTTTGACTGAAAGAAATATAGCAGGTCGAATCAAGGAGTCATTAGAAAGCCTAGACATTTTGTGAAAGAAATTTCCAAAAAGCTATGCTTGCAAAAAAAGGCTGCGCATCAAAGGCTAAGCACAGACGACAGTCTGCAATCCATTCCTTCTCAGCGGTTGAAAATTCAACACAACAATAGAATGTTTTGAGTATGGCTATCAAAACACGAACTCCTGAGCTCCTTTCCACACCGTAAATGACAAATGTAACAAAGGAGCAAAGAGGCAACTCCCTCCATTGTGATGTACTGTCGATGGCTACTGCAAGCCAAGAGAAACACTATTTTACTGTTGTTATTCATTTTCGAACAGAATGGAGAAGTTAGCTGGAACTGACAAGTTGAAAAATTCCGACCACATGAAGCGTCCATTTGTGTCTCCAAGGCGTTTAATTAACACTGTCACCCAATGGGTCTATTTATAAGCCTAATCGATGGGGCGCTGACAGTATCTTTACAAGCCTAAGGGTGGATGTCTAATTAATTGGCAAACTAGGGCTCGTCAAATTGATATTTTCCAGAAATAGAATGAAGCTTAGAGGTTGCTACATGAAATGAGAGAGATGAGAGTGGTTGCAATAAGGTTTATTCGTGGTCTAAACAAGCCCATCCAAAATCACAGTTGCATACTAGGGAGATTTAGTGAGGATGGTAAAGGAGGGTAAAGTTCTGAACCAGAGAAAATAATCCGATCTCCTTGTTGAACAACACAACCCAAAGTTCCTTTTCAGATGAATGTTTTGGTAACTACATGGTAGCTTAGAGAAGCATAACAAAAAAAAAACCGTACTTCCAAGCCTCAGCGATTAGAAGGTTCACGGGCTTCGTAATGCAACCAATCGGTTGCCTATTTACGCTTCAAAGCAATTATCACAGGACCACTATAACAGTTGGTGAGGTTCAGGTAATTAGATTACCAGAGTGCAGAAGTCATGCTGTCACTTGCCATCAGGTTTGCTGAGTAGTCAGCCCTAAAAAGGGAGAAGAGAAAACCCCGCCCGGATAGGTGAAAACATTCATTTCAACACTTAACCAGGGTGAAGACAAAATTAAAACCCAATCTCGCTAAGGAAACAGATTGCGCATACCGTTGATGTAGTTGATGGAAATGTGACAGTCCGCCGGTGACCTACAAAGCCATCCCAAAGCCTACGTCATAAAATACCACTGATGGCTCAAAAAGATGTAATTCAAGCCAAATCCAAAGTTGCAGAGGTTTCCCGACACACTTGCCCACAACACGAGGAGGGCGCGGCAGTGAACCAATTCGCAATTCGCCATCACTCAAAGACACGCGCATCATCCACATCAATACCTTCCACCCCTTTTTACCTGGCATTCTTTGCGAGCATGAACAATCACATGCCGATGTTGACACGAAACCTGAAACTTAACGCATCTGATCAGAGGGTTGATGAAAGCGTTTATTCACACCCATACCAACCCCAAAGACACTATTGCAGCGGAAGTCAGTGCCCGCCACTCATTTCTGTGAGTGAGTGGAATGAGTGCAATGCCACTTCACGACAATCACCTCCAATGTCGTCTATCTTTGATGCACATCTCCTTACCTCACTCCTCCATTTCCTTCCCTCCTTCCTTCCTTCCTTCCTCTCTTCCTTAAACATCGTCAGCGACAACGCATCATCGCCTACCTGTCTCACTGCTCCGACAACAGGCCAACTGATGCGGCATGGGAAGCGGTGTCGGTGCCCATGTGTCACGTTGTCTCTTCTCAAATGGCCAGCGCACTATAAACACCACTCACCACCTCACATTTTACACTCCTCACACACACACACCACTCTATCTTGAGCGGACTGCAATCTTTCTCTCTCTCTCTCTTTCATGTGTGTGGGTGTGGGTGTGCACTTGAGGGTGACGGACGAGACTACAGAGGCAGTAGGGAGGCGCCGTGAGTTTGTAACTTAATGAAGATCAACCGCAGCTGAGTTGCATCTACTCGAGACTCAGTGTGGAGGCTCAATTCCTCCTCCACCTTCACTAGTTGATTTTGATGAGGGATATGCGAGGGTGAATGGATGGGAAAGATGCATACAAAGCAATCCAACCCTCCAAACCATTGTTCACGAGGGTGTGAGAGAGAAGAGTTCTTGTCCTTTCCTCCTCTTTGTAGTCTCACTCACCCTTAGCGTTATTACTGACGCTCATGCCCATCTGCCCTGCTCCTCTCTCCTCCACGTCGTTTCCACTTCCTTTCACGCCTAGCAAAATCGTGTTTCAGATGAAGGTTTAACATTTGGGAATAACTCGAAACGGGGATGTCTTAAGTCTGCAGATTTCTGTCCTCCACAGAACAGACTTCGAATTTATTTTAAAACCGTGTTGTGCACTATGTTACAGACTGCAAGGACGGTGCTTTCTTCAAAGAGCTTCCTAACGTTAAC